AGAGAGAGAGAGAGAGAGAGAGAGAGAGAGAGGGATTTATCGATTGTTGGCGACGCGAAGGTATTTGCCGCGTGTCGACGGAAAACGGCGTCGGCGACGTCTTAGCTGCGCTTAATTCTCTTCCGCAACGCAGTAATATATATATGTATATAGCATTCGTTTCCTCATATCGTTCTCGTATCGTTTAGCTCATCACTCCATTACATAATCCGCGCACGCTTATCATTCACTCATTGTTGATTTTTAGGAACAGCTAGCGAGGTTCGGTTACTCTATCACGCAATCTCCGTACTCGAAACTCAAAACGCCAAAACCGACGCGCCGGTTTTGCGTACACGCGCACGTACGTAGCCGCGTTTTGAGACTCACGCTCATATGTGATGTGTAGCTCCGAGTTCATACGCAAAATTCGATTTTAGTATGTGTATGTGTGTGTGTGTGTTTTCGTTTGTTTGTGTGTGCGCATGTATGTATGTCCATCAATTTGTCTGTGTACGCGTGTTTTAATTTGTGTCAACGAATATTACGGTCCTCACAACGCGTCATTTTCCTCTGTCTCTCGCGAGCAAATTCGAAAAAACTAAGATCGCGATGGATACCGGCCAAAGCGCATCGTCTTGTGCGTTTTCAAGTGCATTCTCACCTCTCTATGACTTTACTATACGTATGTAGGAAACGCGGTGAAGGGAAATAAATTTCGCTTCTCTCTCACAGTCTTAGCACGCCGAAGTTTTCAAACCCCGGGCGCTTTTTTTTGTTTGGAACATCTTGCCCCGTGCTAGTGGTAGTGATACAGTTATCGTTTGCAATGATCCTGAAGACAGTACGGATTTGCGGTCACGCGATTCCGCGAGATTCGTCTTAATTAATTCTACAACTTGATCACACCCGTTAATTGTCTTATTTTGCGAGGTATCGGTTTATCATGAAGAGAGATTCCGCTCTGGGTTTCTTTTTTTTTTTTACTTTTCCTTTTGTCCCGGTACGTCCTGTAAAGGTGGATCGTGCCGGTCGGAAAGACGATCGGCTGAGAATTTCGATATTTAGCGATTCAATTAGGTAGCAGTATAAGAGTGCCGGTATGTGTATGTATAGAGATGTAATATGTAATGCGCGTGTATATGTGCACAAATGTCTCGTGTAGTGTCACTTTTCTTGGAACGTGTGTACGTGTGTTAAAAATGTACGCTAGTTCAACGCTGTAACGTTTATATAGATAATAATCAATACATGACCACATATATGTAAATATAATATCGTAATCTATAATCATAATAATAATAATAATAATTCAAATATAATATTAATAATCGTCGTTACCAACGTTTTGTTAGAAAAGCATCTTTTGCAGACAGGAACCTCGAGAGTTGCTTAGTACCTTAGAAATAGTTATTACTTCGCGTTTTTTTTTTCGTTTGATCTCAACGACCATGTATTTTTTTTTAACGTCCTCGAATCTCAGACCCCCTCCCCCGCCACCTCCGAGAGTCCCCTTTATCTCTAGAAACGCGAACGCGCCAATTCGTCAGTGCATCCTCCTCCCCCTCCCCGTCTTTCGTTTCACGCGATACCTTTTGTTTTTTTTTTCCTTCAGTATACTCTTTTTATCCTTTCTTTTTAACCTAATGATTCACGTAAATTCAATCAAGAAGATGGCGGCACGTAAAACGCCGCGATACCTTTTCTCTTTGCGCTTATTTTTTTTTTTCTTTTGCACTTCCGGTGGCACTTCCGGCATTCTGTTAGCTTCGCATACGCGCCGCATTTGTATGCGCGAACTTTCGTTTCTTCTAGAGTGAGCTTTTAGAGCGAGGAACATGACGTACGTACGCGTGTAGACACGTCACCGTTCCGGATAGTATCCGTGAGGATTCTAGTACGTCACAACATCATATATATATATAT